CATGCAGCGCTGTAGGCGGCTATTGAGCAACTCCACTCAGACGGAAAAGGATCAAACAAGGTAGAATACGAATACAAGACTTCGGAGGCACAAGCTGAATGATCACAGAAGCAGCTGGAATGACTGGCTTAAATATCCTCTTTTAATGGATGACTTATACATTTTGGGATCAGAGAAGCATAAGAATATGTCTTTTGTCTGCGCGAGGAGATGATGGCCTCACCATTGATCGAGTGTCCTCATTTCTTTTTGGGAGCCTGATGCCACTTCCATCGCCGAAGCGTCGAACCTTCGATTAGCTCGAACGAGTTGGCTTCATGAAAATGCATGATGGCTCCTTCAGCCATTGAGCTATGTCTAATTGTAGAAATTAATCACATAGCTACAAAAAAGCTCGTAAAGGTGGTAGAGGAGCAGCGGCAAGAAATGCCGCAATCACACGCATAATTTGGGGATCAAATTATGGATCGGAATTGATCCGAACCAGCCTAACCCCCTCTTCCGCCCTATCGCGGTTGATTACGGTTCATTGTCTCGTACCGGACTCGTCCAGAAGGACATAGGCCTCGAATTGTTCTTTGGGTAGCCCTTTTCTGTTATTGATTGCATCGCCTCCACGGATCAAAGAAAAAAGCTTACTTCAGGATTTCAGCTCTTTACCTACGAGCCTTGGTGAGGTGTCTCGAAGCTTGTGGGTGTTAGAAACAAACCAAGCTGTAATGAGTACCAGAAGCAATCTTCTGTACGTAAAATACTCCCCATGACACTTACCGCATGCTCCGAAGGGTCAGGCTGGAAAGTGGGAAGCATTTAGAGGATCTGGACCCATAGAACTTCGACCTGGCTTAACTTTGTGACTCTTCCCAATCCCCGCTCACTTCGAATGCGCATCTGTTTTGTTTTCGAAATGGGCGTGGCTTGTTGGTGGAGAAGGTGTGTGCAAGTGCGCTTCGTACCCGCGGGGCGGGGGTATAAAAGCGCGTCGGCGGCGCCGTACTACCTAGCGATGATGGACGACGACACCAAGCGACTTGAAGCCGAAGCTGTCACGCTCCGAAGGTAATCCCTATCCTACTGTATCGAACTATTGATCTCTTTGCACATATAATTTCATCTTGTATACGAAATTAGAAATTCTTTGTGATTCCTTTCGTAAACTTGGACAATTGAAGTACTTCCTTCTCTATCACATCGGCCTATCCTCACTATCTTGAATCTCTACGATTTTACTGTATTCTAAACAGCAAGCGACTGGAAATTTCCCTGTTATTCTCATATTGCTCACTGACAAGCATGGAATTGGTTCCATCTCTCAACTTGTAAGCCAACGGATGTGATTAATTGATGATTTCCAGTTGGCCAACAAGAGAACAAGATTTGTTGCTTGATTAGCCGCAATCATCGCCAACTATGATTCCAATACTAGCTTCAAGTCCTTCTCAGATTGAAGGGGTCCAGTCCTCATCGACGACTTTGGTTGCCTTTGCCGCTCCTTTAGGTTTTATGAGCTGAAGAAAACTCCGACTTCTCCCAAACCAGTTGTCGATCCCCTGAGGATCTTTATGTGGTTATCTCATTCATTGGTGTTCACCACGTCCGAACCACATACGAAGCCAGTAAGGCATAAAATACAGATAAATAATATTAATCTTAATAAAATACGTACCCAAGTACTGAATCCTTTTCAAACGTCTTCGACACTATCCATTTACATTTAGAATCCCTAAGAAGCCTTTGAATGGATCATGAAAAACTTCGGAACCGACAAGCAATTAAGAATATGTTTGAAAATGTTCCGTAAATCAGGACTATGTTCTACAATCAGGGACTAGGATTATTTGGAGCTCGCTATATGCCCTCTTTCGAACTGTTTCATTACTGTTTCCAGTTCAGTATTGTAAGACTGTGCAGCATTTCAGTCAATCCCCCATAAATCCGAACCCTTCTGACTGGCCGATTACTTCCATTTCTATCATATAGAGGTGTTCTTTATTGGAAACTCCAGTGGTAAAAGTTGAATCAGCAGTCATGAACTCCTAATCCTCCTCGCGCCTCTCTCCTTACAATAGACTCAAGAAGAATATCATATTTGCATGGCTCATTCTCAAAAAAGAAACTTCGGAAGATCTGAATACCAGGGAAGGTATTTCCACGGTCCTTCTCGGTAAACATAGGACTTTCTTCGGGAGAACGATCTGCTTCTGCTCTGATCCTTTCCGATTTCTAGGGTTGCGTTTTTCGGCGTGGCCGTGTCGACTGTCGCCACGCTGGTATGCGTGATATCTGTGCCATTACTCTACAACTATATGCAACATATGCAGTCAGTAATGCAAAGTGAAGTAGACTTTTGCAAATCACGGTCGAGTAACATCTGGCGGGAAGTCACACGCACACAGGTGAGCTTTTTCCTGTACATTTTATATCTAGGTTTAACTATTTTTGTCAGTCGACAATATCTCAGATGATATATGAACCAACCAGATTAGTGAGATTTTTTTGGAAATGTGGGGACGCCACGAATCAGTATGGTTGTTGATACCGTACGTTATGGCGATGAACTCTGTCATGATCGAGGCGATAAACTCTGTTCATGACCGAAGCGCGACAAAATTCGAATGGACGGGGCACTTCCAATGTGAATGTCATAGAGAAACCGGAGACCATTTCGTTTGCGAAATCGTCCAGCTCCCTCACCATCAACTTGATGTTAATCGGGATCTTCCTATGAGCCATAAAATTCGATTGGCGCCATAATGACGTCCATAACTGCAGCAGGACTGTTACACCGATACTATGGATGGTCCTCAGATAGAATATTGTATTAAGCGATTGGAAGTTCTCTGGAACTAGATCAGTTCTTGTCAGCAGAACATGCTACCCTACTAATTTCGATAAGGGGCTTTGAGAGATCTAAGATAGGTGTCCTCTCTGTGCGCTTGTAATAGCAAACTAGCAGTATGTACCAGTTAGTCACAGTTTTAATCATCTCAAACCAGTTAGGCATTACCCACAGTACTTTCCTGAAAGGAAATTCCTAGCGAGGACTCAACTGTAGAACCGTTCCTGAAAAGTTTGGAAAACAACAAATCGTTCACCTCCAAAATGTCCTCCTTCCTGGTATGGGAACATCGACGTGATTCACAGGGGAACCAGTTGCTTAGGTAAACTTGAAATGCGTTTGCAACCCTCACCGCAACGATGTTTTTAAACTTTTCTCAAACGAGGAATAACGAGGACATCAGCTTTGAAAATTTGGGTGTCGGTAACTCTTTGTGCAACGTTTACCTTAGCTTGTCAACACCTTCAAGTGGAACACGGCTCGAGTTTACACTAATTTAACCGTAGGCCTTAACTATGACTGATTATTCCGCCTTCCTCAGTTAAGGGTTTTTTCTAGAATAACACCTCCTTCATACTTCTCCTCCCTCCTTCACTTCTCAAGAACTGTCAGCAATTATCGTTCTGTACAAGCCGCTCGACGCCAAAACGTGTTTACAATGACGCCTGCTATTTCCACATATGTACAAACGCTAGACGATCTAGCATCCCATGACAATCTATACTCACCCTAGAGGTGCGACAACGTACAACAAATACCAATCGAGAGAGTTGTGACCTCGAATTGTACGAATTCCATCGGGGGAAAGGCTATTCTCACGAAGGACACTAGACGAACGAGCTATGGGAATCTGTAAAATAGCTAATCTCTTTTCGAGTAAAAAACTTCCAATGTCTTCCATTCAAGGCCAGTTCTGCAGAGTCTGGTGGTATAAAAAACGAAATGGTCTTTGAATTGGATTGAATTCTACAGCTGTGGCTCTAGCCAAGGTCCGAATCACATAGGAGACCATACATATTTCTCCCCAAGTCCGGGCTAACTCCTGATTATACTGCTCGCTTCACTCTACATAACTGCCTCCGCACCAGTTACGTAGACGGCAGCGGGCAATCATCTTTGGAATCGTGTATCCTTTTAGAGGTCTACGGTAGAGGACTGTAAAGGTTAATGTCCATAGACGCGGTGTCCACAGACTTACAAGTGGAGGTACAAATATGACCGCTTATGCTGTCAGCTGATGGCAAGTCACTGCTTTACCTCCCAAGGAAGTCAGCACCAGTTAGTCGACTTGATTCGCCCAATCCGTTCACCGTAACTGGAACATACTCGACCGATACTGCTCCTCTTTTGCCCTCAAATATCATGATGGAAAAAGAAGATCCCTCGTTTGAATACTCCAGAACAACCCATCCACTTGGATGTTTTGCATAACTTCTCAGAAATGCCATTTCAATGCCACTTTTTTCCAGTTATCTGATCGAATAGGAGGCTAGCGCCTAGATGGCCGTTAGATATTGTTTTACTCATCTTTTTTATTCACTCGATGACGCAAGACTTCCCATTTACCATCATTGGCAACTGAAATCGTACGCCGATCTTACCTTCCCACCCCTCCTCAACTCTGCTTCTTGTTGGGGATACTTTCAAAAAAATTTGGTCTCACTGGATCAAGTGGAACCTTATGATAAAGGTTCTGGTTGCCGACCAGGTCGTTTAGCCGATTAGATCGTTGGGTGAGACAGATGTAGCTTGCAGGAAGAGTTGCTATGGATCAGGGTTAGCGTTACGATGGTGATCCATGGATGTTTCTCATTCATGACTCGGCCCAGCCGGCGACCATTGCAGCCATCGCCTCCTTTTGATGAGGAGAGGACCAGTTCGTGACTCCTCGCGGAACAAGTTCGAGCGGCGATTGCGATCGTTGGCTGGCGTTTTGTAGCTGCTCCGGCGTGTCTGACTTACTAACATCAATTGCGTGTGTATCCAAACGTTCAGATCAGGACATTGATGTTATTGTAAGAATCCTGCGATTAGTAAGCCGCCAGACACGGAATGAGAGGGATTCGGGCGTGAAACTAGAGCCAACCAACTTGTACATAAACACCAGTGCATATCTAGGTTAGAAGAACGAATTTTTGATCTTCTTCACGTTCATCTACCTTCTACTGTTCCGGATATGCTGTGATGGCACCAGGACATATAGACAAAAATCCAAGCGATTCCGCTGCATATTATACTCATTATGAGAACAACTGGTCTCTTGGTTGTATCGAGTTCTTCAGCCTTGCACCCTCCTGTTTTGGATATTCCTTATTGTGCTATTTTCGATGGTCAAACTGGTCCCATTTTCTAATAAACCTCCAATCACGTAGAAATGATTCGAGGAGAACAAAGCGCAGACCGTACGCACTTGTCGCAAACGATGCAGAAAATAGGCAAAACGGAACTCTTCTGAAAGAAGCCCAGAACGGATAAGGAGGAGAGAGGAGTCTCTCGTATATGCCGCGATATGATCGTGTCCTGAGGGTACGGAATCATTTTTGAAATCGAAAGTATGCAAGTACTGCATCTATAGTGGGCTCTCAAACACCTTACGCTGCCATTGGTGCAATGTGACCAGTAGCCAAAAATGGGGTGTATGGTAATCCAACCTCAAGCGCCACCACGGATCCTGCACCTCAAACTCTCTGAATGTTTCAGTACTATCCCCTTCCCTACGTTCTGTCGCCAGTACGCAATCTGTTTCCTCCGCTAGGAAGGTACCGCTTATGAGAAGAGCTTTGTATAGGAAAACCACCTCATTACGGAGGGCCTCATTACGTAAAGCAATGGTATAGGGGTCTTGGTCTCAAGAACCAACTCACTTTAGAAAAGTTGTGACCACAGTTCTGAGGCCTCTTTCAATAGGGCTGATTGTCCATTCGCGGGCTCAGTTAGGGCACAGGACTATAATTCTCGCATGAGACAATCATCTTGTCACTTCAACTTATTCCAAGTGGTAGTTCAGTTCACGACACGGGACGCAGGGATGACTAAGCAGAAGCACTGGCCAGTTTGTGGAACACCTTAACTCCTCAACCTAATAAGCTTCATTTCAAAGCTTTTTAAGTACGAGAATCTCAGCTCGGTTGGCTGATTTGCAGATTTCATTCATAGCTATGCCCTTTCAACTGAGCTTCTACCATGGCTCCATCATCGGGGCATCCGAAAGGTTCATTAGCGGACACTCGCCAAACAAACATCGCTGCTGACACCGACTCATGAGTGACCTGTGAAATCCAGCAGTTGTATTCCTCTAGAGGAACGATTTCTGTCGTATACTTTCAGACTTAATTTCACCCACCCTCCACGAGGCCCTCTTCTGGTTTGGAAGAAATCGTGAGAGCAGACTGAAGAGGTATTCATATTGAAATTGCTTTCGTAGAGCGTGAGCTGCACACTCATTATTGCCGATCGATCGAATATTAGAAAACCTCCAGTCTATCGCCGTCGCTACGAAGGAATTTCACCTCGAAACGAGTCTCTATTCTTCACAGATAGAAAAGCAAACAGCAAATTTGAAGGGTCGACTTTGTGTAGCCAAAAATGCGAGCGTCCTTTCCGCTACCGGTTATCGACAATTTGCTGAATGGCACTTCAGAATTTAATGGGTGGGCGCCAAGTAAGAGTACAACACACATAGCACACATATTCCGATGCAATCCATTCATCGGAGAAGGTTGGACCCTGACTATTGAGTTTTAATTTGTTCTTTGTAAGTAGTCCTGTCTTGAGGTGCGATTCAAGCCCTATCTGAATGCCAGTTCTACAAGATAAGACAACTATTGGAACGTGCCATGCGCTAGGTGCCCATCCACAAGTTGGGCCCGAGTCCAGAAAAGTAGCCAAGGGTCTAAAATTGCAGCTAGGGAAACCGAATCATGTTAGTGAGCTTTTTAATATTCCCGCAGTGATTCTGAAATCGCTCGGTGCAACCAAGGTATCGAAGTGTCCCCTGTTCCGACGTCGGGTCCAATTCCTAACCAGACCTCCAGCGTTTTTAACCTAGGGACACGATTACATACGACATCTATACCATAATACGAATGTAGAAACCTATTTATAAGGCAATCTTGTCTGTTAGCAATCACCTGGGTCAGGGAGGCAACGAAATCCGATCTTTTCCGAATATTCAGATGCTGAAGAAACGCTAAGCGTACGAAACTAAAAGTATACCGAAGGAACATGGCCCCGTGGAAAGACAGTGGACTCACTGGAGTCGACCAAAAACTAAATTCGGTATATCCGGCTCGAGTAGTTCTGGGCAAGCAGAAGGATTTGGTGGAATTGTGAAGAGGTTAATTCTGCCCAGTACTAGAAATTAGCTTCCAGTGATTTCTTTGGTTCATGTTTAACAATCAAATACTGATTTCGAAAATAAATCGGTTCAAACAACTAGTTGTCAATAATTCACCACCCCTAGGAACGATTAGCGGATGAGAATAGGTGCCCAACTCTGAAAAGAATGATTTTTAATCCAGCAATCATGTTCCTCGAAAAAGATCGTGTTCTGGAGAAAATTCAATTGCCTCTCATTTTTTGCGATTAACAACCCCACCTTGAAAAGGACCTGTTCTCTTTGCGCTTGATTACGTCGGATAGACGTTCTCTAATGATCCACTCATCCGAATTGGACACGAAACGGCTCTTCATAAGATTGATTTCCATGATCAATTTCGTATGGGAGACTGATTACGACCAGTACTATACAGGGCGCATGGCTGAATCAGCCTAACTGCCAGAGACCAAACTAGCTAACTCTAAAAAAAATGTCTACCAGAGAAACCAGTACTATGACTACTGAAGCACTAAAAGTAACCAAGCTTTGATCCGTTCAACCCTCCTCAGCATGCTGTATCACTTCAGTATTTCCCTTTTCAGTGAACCCGGAATGAAGTGTCTTCAGTTCCTGCAGTTACTAGGCCCCAACTAGAAACGCCGGCGGGCTTTTTGTACCACTATGAAGGCACCAAATCTGGATGGTCATTGATCCGAATTTGGACGGCAGAAGAAAGAGACTGCTCTTAGTACGCCTTCATGCCCAATGCAGCTGTCTCACTTGTCCTGGGCGGTAATTGACGTTAGCGAAGCACGATAAACCGGAACAGATTGAATGCATTCAAATAGTACAGGGACGTATTGTTGCGAAGCTAAACGGCCAAGGCACACGTGGACAGGTTTCCTATGGTTCCATCGCTAGACGCATCCCATCAAGGTGCTAAAGTGATTCAATCGCACCCTGTATCGTTTTCAGTCAGGCCATCAAACGCATTCGCCACATTCCTGGGACCGATGGACAGAATGAAAGCGACCCATACAATTAGCACGCTACGAGGGAACAGGGTTCATTTAGAAGCAGAAGATGGCCAGCCGTTGCAGCCGTTCAATAGGAACTGAACTTGAGAATGCCCAATAAAGGTGGAATTGCCCTGCTATGTTTTAACTCTGAGTGTTACCCGATTACTTTACTTTGGGTAAACTAGGAAATTGAAGGACACTATTCGTAGGCACGTAGTTAATCAAATTACCAGTCAGAATACCTCTGTACTCACAAACATTTGTGCTACAACAATGTTTGCTATGGAAATTTACTTATCGTCAGCGTGTTAAACGAGAGGTCCTACATTACCCGTCAGAGCTTGAGGCAAATAAGGGCCAGGAATGTATTCTGCAAAGTTATCTTTCCTCCGTGCGATTCCTCTATGAGTTTTCGGATAGACCAATAGTTATGCATCAGCTGCTTCTTTCCTTTTGGCATCCTAATAAATCAAGCAGAGAATCGAACAAAACCTACTTCTCAAAAAACCCTTCCTGAAGAAAGATACATATCTGGTAATCTGGTGGGAGATTGATTACTCGATCGTCCTAACAGAAGTCGACCACTCAGTTGATTGGCAAAGCCGCCTTTAGTGACTCCAATTCAGGAAGCTTATTGATGGTTCTGATTGATCTTTCACTGTGAGGACCGGAGAACTCGAAGAAGACGGATTTCCTCTTTTAATGTTCCAAGTACTTTTCCTATCCTTAAGAGACTGATTCAATTTCCAAAGCAGTAGGAATGACACAAATGGAATTTTCTTTTGAGACTGACTAGAAATCTGCTCTCTGGGTGAGGAATTTGCGAATACAACCGGTTTCTTAACTCAGGGTTCAATTATACCGAAAATGGTTGGCTATGGTGAATCATGGCATGGTTTCTCATTCGCGAAATCGTGTACTGCTGTATTCTGAAATGAAGTCATAACTACGCCATTCAGGGGAACCAGAACAGCAACCTTTCTTTCGCTGAGTCATGTGTACTGCCTAACTGGCTACTTTTGGGAACTTTTCTCAGCGATCAACAATGGGAACCAATTGTGAAGCCCAAACATGTAGTCTAAATAGAACCGGTGACAGCTGGGTGACCACAGTTCGTCGCCCTACATTCATTCGTGACCCATAACCTAACCAGGAATGCTGCTCTATTAGGAGTGGGGAAGGTCATTAGAAGTAAGGCTCACAAGCTGGAACTGAACTACGTTCTTGAATGCCAGTCAGGGCAATCGCCAAATGACTGATTAATGACTTGTCCACACTTCACGCTATCGCGATTTTCGAATCGGCTAGATCTGGTATCGTTTCCAGGCCAGTTCTTGACAAGCAGAACGATTCGGCTTCAAGAGATAACAACTTTTTCAATGGCAACCATTCGTCCGCTTTTTCTAAAATGCCCGTAAGCACGATTGCGCAACGAAGCCTAATTTCCAGTCCAAGAATGCATTATCTACTTTCTTCAAAAAAGATGATTGATCAGGTTGGGGCTGATGGGCAGAGAACAATCGAAACCATCTGCGGGTCTTGATGAACCTTAATCGAGATTTGCACCTATGGCCATGTAAATGCATTCAGCGCCCATTGCATTTGGTCTCAACCCTGCGGGTCATAAAGTAGTAAGAATTCCTCGAGCTACATACATCGTCTGCCCGAAAAATTGTGTGTATGCACGAAGATGGGNGGGAGATGAATGCCGAACATTCCGTAATCCTCGCAGCATGGCTCCTAAGCCGCTTCAAAATCCGGTCCCAAACAGACCGACATTCGATGCAAGAAATACCAAAGATAATTCCGAAAGTCAGCTTTGGCCCTCTAAGGCCTCCAACAAGCTCAGAAAGTTGACCGTATAATCTGCTAGGAGCCTGTCCAGGAAAATATTCTCTTAGGATGAAGATATGGAATATGACTCGAACAAAACCTCAAATGTTCTCTATTTTAGGTACTAGCAAAGGTTTCGGGAGTCCGCAGGGATCGTCGTCAAGCCGGGTATTCTTCAGCTGGAGTGGAAGGCAGTGTCGAATCAGCTCATCAAGGAGTTTGTTGTGGATGTGGAGTATCACCTCAAGGACCACCCGGCGCACCTGGTCCTGATGGCGAGAACGGAGCCGATGGAGAACCAGGAGTGCCTGGACGAAACGGTCCCGATGCACCACCCGCAACACCACCACCACAACACGAATTCTGCTTTGACTGTCCCGATGGACCACCAGGACCACCCGGAGCACCAGGACCTAAAGGACCACCTGGCAACCCTGGCTCCCCTGGAGCTGATGCTGACGGAGGCAGTCGCGGCCCACCCGGTCCTCCTGGACCTCCAGGTCCTCCCGGAGCAGATGGAGCTCCCGGAAATCCTGGTGCTCCAGGTGCGCCCGGTAAGCTCAACGAAGTACCCGGACCTATTGGCCCACCGGGGCCACCTGGACCTCCCGGACCACCAGGACCTGATGGACAACCTGGATCGAATGGAAACCCAGGACAAGACGGACCACCGGGACCACCTGGAGACAACGGTGCACCTGGAGCACCTGGACAACCTGGAGGCCCAGGACCTGATGGGCCGAGCGGTGATCGTGGACCAAGTGGAGGTTGCGACCATTGCCCACCTCCTCGAACTGCTCCTGGCTATTAAATTTATATTGACTAATACATGTCATGATCATCATTCACCAGTGCTGAACCATTTCTTAGTGAATGGAATGCGAGCGATCGGGTTGCTCTTTTGTAGCGCCCTTCACTTAAACTATTTAGTCATGAATGTAAGTACATTGATTGAAAATAAACTGTTCGACGAAATACGGTCTAGCTAATAATTCCCACATTGTCTCTTTCGTTTTCAGATCACGAATCAGTGTGTCAGGTAGAGATTCCTAGAATTTTACTTGAATATAATGTTGTGATCTGATATCTCTGTATTTACTGCTTTTGCCACATATTTTATCTATGAGCGTGAGAATTATTGATGACTACTGCCCGGCTTCATCGATATTTTTGTCACCGTTTGCAAAATTTGTGCGTTTCGTGGTAAAATAAAGCATCAAAAGATATATGTATATGCCAAGTCCTGTAAAGGTAACAAAAAGAAGGATGAGTGATGGGGCGTTAAAAAAACTCTGTAAAGAAGCGTCTTCATAGAAATACTTCTTAGAACCAAACATCAAATAAAAAAAAATGATGCCCACAGATGCCATTTGTTGTCATCATCATGAAAGTATAGATTTTGTCGACGATCAGTGGCGTTTTTGATGCGCCCACGCCACGCATCCGAGTTTCATTCGAAATTGCAGCGGCAATTCAATGCGTATGTGGCCTATAAATGACTTACGTTGGCCAGCCGATGTTCAGGCCAGCACATTTTCCTCCCAGACAAGCTTGGTACCATGGCCTAGTCGGTTTGGGTAGATATCGATCCCCGGACTATACATGTAATAGCACAACATCTGACATTATACGCCTTTGTCTTCACCATGCGTACCGTAACCTCATGTTATGCTTGCCATGTCAATGATTGCTTTCAACGCTGTTCGTATTTGCCTAATTGACCTTTCCACATAGTTATAAACAGCTGAATCCAGCAGTTCGCATTGCATTAAGGTTAGACTACATATATACATTGTGTGTCTCAGAGCTTTGCCAACGTAGAAAGGACGAAAACTTACCAGCTGGCGAGAGCTCTCCGAAAGTCTTCTGCTAGATGGGTCTAAAAATTCCTGTTCTAAAAACATATTTTCACTGAAAACAGGGTTAATTCATCAAGATTCTTGCATAATCCAAAGAGCAAAATTTACAAAAATTTCGCAGCATTCTTAAGATCTATTATGACAGGTCCTCACTGAGAGTACTATCTACTCGAAGAATCTTGAACCGGTTGGGGCAAGTTTAATCGATGAAATCTGAGAAAGCGAAAGAGGTTGAAACCCTGAATAAAAAGTTTTCTCTAGCTGAAGGCGGGTTGAGATGCTCCCACTGGATGCTTTCACAGAAGCACCCATGGAGATACCATGAAGGACCATGCTATACACCGAAGACACCGCTTTGATAGATAGAGGAGAGCGGGGAAGAAAATCTGGACAAGAATCTGCAACTGTCATCGAAAGCGCACAGTGATTCCGATACATAGAAAGTGACCTGAAAATAGCCTCCATGTCGAATCACCGTATGGTTTCTAAGTACCGCTTTTAGCCAAAAGCACCGTGGATTAGGCTGTGAACGCTAAAATCGACTCCCCTGGGGTGAATTGGGAAGAGTTCAATGGCACCTTCGCAACCGACGCTGCTCCGGAGCGCTCATGATAATGATCTACCGGGCAGTGGTAAGGTCCACGATGTTCTACGACGTCAAGTGCTGGGCAGCAGGAAGGAATCTAAACAAGAAATTCTACCTCGATGGGAACATTAAGGTGGGCCTGCGGTGTGGTCGGGTCCGTAACGAGGACTGTAGGATGGCCATGTAGACAGCTGCTATCCAGATAAGGATGAGAAAATGGCAAAGGATATGTTGGTAAAGGTAAATGCACATGTTGCAAAGGTTTTGAGTTCAATTATTAGAGGAGCAATGGAATTCGAATTCCATGAGAACTACAAATAGAAGCCTCAGAGGAAAAATGAAGTACAATACCACTGATTACAGTTGCTTAAACCCTTTCAACTTTGCCATTCAATCACTTTATCGCGCTGCTTTCTTGACATACATATATCCTATGTTTAATATTAAATTATAACAAGATGATTTCACTCTGGTGTTCTTGAAATATATGTGTAATTGAATGAAGAGCAATTCATGCCTATCATTTACATACTAGTCATAAACGAAAATTTGCAATCCTGCAAAATTCAATATTTAGATTATTGATAAGAGCAAAAAGGGTATGTGGCTCAACGACAAATTATTGAACTGAAGCAGACATTTATAGAAAGATTCAATAAAAAGCGGGGAAAAGAAACTAAGTAGTAGACAATACATCACAAACCAACGAGTTACATGAATGAAATCACATTAATAAGGCACATACACCGAAAAGGAAACAAAAGCAAAAATACAAAGTAAAACAACGGCAAAGCGAAAAAACACCTCCGAACCGTCTTCTCGGGAACATAGCGCGCCATGCACCTGCAGTACGCCGTAACTGTTTCTGTGGTGGGAAAACCTCTTGTGCGGGTCAGAAGCTCCTTTAATGTGGCCATTTCCTTTTCGACCCGACGTCTTCAGTCTGCCCCTCCATCGTAACGGCCTCGTACCCATTCTTCTCAGCAAACGGAAACTTTATTACTACCACTGATAAAGTGAACAGCGCAAATCAACCCTTCCAACGGTGAGCAGGGTTCCTTGACGCTTTCACGGATCCCTGTAAGGCTTGCGGATCGCTCATGCGCAGGCGCTTTATCTGCATGAGCACTCCCAAAAGCCTGAAAGAAACTAGACGAGTCAGCAAACAAGAATGGAGCTGCATTCCAATGGATCAAATTTGCTGAACGATTCAGCCACATTTGTGGCCCGCAGGATCGACACATCCCACTTATTTCACAGATCCCTGAACGCACCTCATCCCAATATTTTCTTGAATAGTCTGAAAATGAAGAGCACTTTTTGTAAGCCCTATGTTCTCTGGCGACAGAGTACATAGGGCTTACACAATGGAGGCAGTGCCGAGGCAGTTCGCATTTCTTTCTGCAGTACAGTACTGCAGAAACGGAGTGCTGTCTGAAAGAAATGCGAACTGCCTCGGCACTGCCTCCATTGTGACACGGGATCCGTGCAATTTCGAAAGTGCTCGGGATCGTATTGGACTATTATGTGAGTTTTTGCATCAACTGGTTTGATTTGAATTACCTCCTGATAGCGTGACGGTGCGAATCATATCCCTTTCTACAGAAGTAGTGCAGCATGCCCTCTCGTTCTGCCTCACCTGAGTACCGCACTTTAACAGCTGTGAATATCAGAAAAAGACCTACCTGCGCCTTCACTGAAATCCACCACTTTTGCCAGGTTCTGTTATGTTTGTCCTGGTCGCATGTAGGCATACGGGATCTTTAGGTATATCGCGTCATGCCTGAAGAACAGTGGCTGTTCATGTTGCGCATATGTAGCTTATTCATGTTCTCACCTTATAAACTGCCCTTGTGGCTCTGTTATGGGCATTCTTTTGTGGGATGCATACCTGCGGAAGCACGTGATCGCCTATGAGGGTGCTTTCGTTCCTGACCTGAAGTAAGGTGATTCCAGTGAAACTCGCTCAATATTATCCTGAAATGAAGTTTTGTAGTACCGCTATGCCGACTCTCTTCCCATTGTTCCTACATCCTGTGCATCGGTAGATTTCATTGCCAGTTGTAGTCGCCTGCATATGCTCGAATGTATAACACAGGCATTGCCTTTCAAAGAGCAAAACGTTTGGAGAAGTTAATATACAGGGTGACTCACATGAAGTGTGACGCAGAAAACAAGCATCAAAATAACACAAATCAAACCTAATAGGAAACGTTTGCCTCATACAATCATCACAAAATTGTAAACAACATATCACATTTCGCATGCAGAATGCATATTTCGCCTTAATGCAAGCATCCAACCTCTTTCAAAAGTTTTCAAGAATGCGCGCAATCGCTTTCACCCCCCGCTTCTTCAAGAGAGCTTTTTTCAGAGGGTCCAAAGACCTGTGTTTGAAAGTGCAGGCTTTTTGCTCCAGAATCGTCCATACTGCAAAATCTAAAGGATTGAGATCGGGGAATCTGAAGGTCAAACCTGTTTCGCCCCAAAAACCTGGTGGCGTGGTTTCACAATTGCAGCATCTTCTTTGCGCTGTGGCTGGTGCCCAATCCTGCGAAAGGTTCAGCTGACGTTTCTCGCGTTCCTTTCCACCCAAGGGATCACCGCATCCTCCAGCTCAGAAGCCCATAAGTTGATTTTTTTATTACCCGTCATACTTCATGTGGGTCAAAGTTGTAATTGCCTAGGATTCGCCTGGGATACGATAGCGCAGTGCGTAGTGCTTTCCCTGTTTGCTAGCTCCGATGACTGCGGGAAACTGTCCGCCGGTAAGTTCACCATCTGTCGTCGAAGAGGCGCAGCAGATGATGATAACGTACCGGCTTTTGCTAAGAATGTAAAGTCCCTTATTTGTGTGATGAGAGCAGAAGGACATGATTTTTACTTGCTCGTGGGTAGGGCCGCATTTCCATTTCCCATTTCCTCGTTTTCAATAGTTAGTTGAAAATAAGAGAATAACTGAACACCTTCAAAATTCCTTTGATATCTAAAAAACTTTCTAAAAACACTCCACCTTTCGACGTGAGGGTTTTGCATAGATATTTGGTACAAGCCCCGTGAAAGAAAATCATGTATGTCCGGAAAACATACATCACATTCACGCGGAAATCAACGCAAAAGAGGAGGTGCGCGACCTCCTTAGACCGATCGAATAATAACACTTCGTCGCCTTAGGATCAGAATGATCTCTATTTTCCTTTCAAGTTCTACGTCAACACGTCTACTTTCCAGCTTCCCAAATATTTTCAGCTGCTTGATATGATTCTATGTGTCTTATGAACTAAATGATAAATACCGTTTGTTTTGATAACTAACTGTTTGTATGGAACTCAAACTGAAGGTCTGACGAAAGCATCATATGCCGAAAGCTTACCAAAAAAGGTGGAGAATCAAGAGCTTTAAAAAGTACATATCAAAGACGACCACAACATGACTGAATTATACTCAGAGATAGCAATATTTCAAGATACGTTCACGATAGTCTTAAAGAGAGATATAGCAGTCTGCCATGCTCTCTCGCATCAATTTCTGCCTTTAGAAAGAAATAGCCTTTGCGTCATTGTGGTGTCCTTTTTACATATCTTTATAAATTTTTCGACAGCCGCCGATTCGCTCAACTTCTAACCAGCAGGGACACTTCACTCCTCCACTTTTCTTTTGATAACCTTAAACCTTCACCAGCTACCGCTAAAACTTTAACCCAATTAAATGCCAATAAGGGTCACCACTAGGACTATGATAAGGAGGAGGTTCAGGAAATGTTAGCGAATTCGGTTGGAAACCCACGTGAGCAAGGCGGTCACGATATTCACTGACCTGCCGCATGAGTATGAGATACTAGTAGTCACCTTTAACTTCTCAAAACTGCTGCACACTGCTTGGCAGAAGCGGCAACTATTGCCCATTTAAAACATTCTCTCCAGTGTAGATAAAAGGATGCCTTAAGAACTGCGCAACTTTTCGACGAAGATCCAATCATAAACTTTATGAACTTGACATCAGCGCGGCACTATCCCTCCACAATCGACCGTGTAACCATAGCTAGTACAAACTTCTCCAAACAATCACAAAGAAGGCAAATCGGCAACCAATCCGACTTCTTCATAAAGGCTCAATGTTAATGACACCTGTTCCAGAAAATCTATGATCAGTGGGATGAAAGCCAATTCAAGAGCTTCGTTATAGCAACTGTAATTTGTCACGTAATGGCCTTCGCCATTTGCTCCGTTTCCGTCATTGGATATCGAAACTAGTTTGGTGGTACAATATATATAATTCATATTTATATGCATATTGATCATAATTTATAAGCACGAAATGAGCTTCTCAATGCAACGCGCACAAGAAAAGTTCAAAATCAATCCTTATTAAGTTAGTAGGCAACGGATGGCAAATTGAAACTTCCGAAGTTCAGAAATCTTGCACACAATATGTTCAGCCATAAAGGCGGATAACCAGTAAAATTTACCGACATCGAGCGATCTATGTTCAAAAATGAACTACATAATGGTATTTTTGAAGATTCGCTTCCGCTCCAAATCATCAGTTCTTGAGCCATTGACCCTGAAAAAGGAAATGACTATGAACCCATCTTTATTAGCGGTGAAGGACATATGCAATCTTTATATGGAAAGCAGTTTTACTTTCAAAAAATTTCCCCTAGCTGGCAACGTGCCTTCCCTTCCCAAATGTACTTGACTATGGGTAGCTCTGTAAATCGCATGCGCTATTTCGCTTTTATAGCTGTTGCAAGACCAATCCACTTTCCAGACCAAAACTAACATATCAACAATGAGAAATACTCAGAGAAAACATCCAAAAAACTGTCTTCGACATCCTAGGTAAGGAACAGGTGGTACCCACGAAAGAGATTGGCAAATGAAAGCATACGAGAAGGAGCGAGAGAGTATGTATGACAACTTAATCTATGAATATGATTTTAATAGCCCTTGAAGGTAAACGAATATGGGCAATCGAGACATAGACAGCGCTAATCAAATTGGCCTCCCACTATTTCCTATCAGTACGGACCCTTCCAAGAGACCATTAGCTGTAATAGGAATGAGCCTCCGAGTGGAGAAGATAATGTGAGTTCAGGTCAAAGAGCCTCTAAAACTTAACAAAAAAACTGGTTTGAATGTTTCAAAATGTTTGGTTTGTACCTTTTGTCTTGTTATTTCGTTGAACGTCTTTTTTAGTGCCCGTTAACTCGCCGTCCGTCGCCACCGTTGTTAAGTCTGCCTTCCTCGCTGCTNCTAATTTAAAGAAATGTCCTGCTTAACTGTTCACTTCTTGCCATTTTGCCAGTAGCTTTCAAGTCGGTTCCACGAGGGAGGTTGGCGTACCCGTGTGCCGAAGTTCCGACTTGGTCCTATGACTCCTGACGGAATGAGGGCACCATGGCCAACTGGTGCGGTTACTGGCTATAGGGCATCTTCGTGACACTCACTATCAGTGCAGCTCCTGAAGATTTATACTCACAGGTATTCCTGTCCTCTCCCTCCTTCTAATCTCACATTGTACAGTGGCGGCGGGAGGTTTACTTGCTTCTAGCTGTGCGCACTCAGTGAGGTGCATAAATAAATAAATAAAATGGTCTATTGTAACAAAGTAACTAAGAACATACCTGAAAACATATCCCTCCTTAGCAATGGCTGAGGTTAAGGCGCATATTGTCTTCACATCGTCTATACCACTATGAAGACGTCCCTGAACACATATGTAAGCTATCTGAGAAGTGTGAACACCAATATTCGAATACAAAGAAGTGAAAGCTCACGGCATGTGATAAATTGTAAATCCGTAAGAGGTCTTTCAAACCCTTGGCGAACGTTCCACTGTGCTCACAATAGGACTTCTTCACATTGATCCATTTATCGAAATAACTAAAACATGAAGTTTATTGAGGGACAGGAAAAACTTCTTAATCTATGTATCTATTCGGTGGTTATTCGAGATCGATAGAAAGCTTCGAAACAGCAATTCTTAAGTGAGAACAGAGTAAGCACGACGAACTCGAATATCCCCACCTTGGGAGTGATATATGCTTATTCGCCGACTCCGATGGTAACATAACTCCTAGATCCCAATCACCACATGTAACAAAAGCAAAACGAGAATTAATGATTTCTTCCTGAAAGGCGAGCATTAGCTTTTCATACGAAAGTTACCAATACTATCTCTAGATTATCGCTAAATAACCAGTCGAGGAAAGAAATTAAGCGGAAAAAAGAGAGAATTGACTGTTCACCTTCCCCATCCAATCGTCGAAATCGTTCAAAACTTTATCGATAGTTGGTTGATTGTCGACCATTTCCTATAAAATTTGTGAGACGTTATAGAAGAATCTAATACAATGCGAAACAACACGAAGAAAGCGTAAAAGCTATAAAAATTCTCGTCTACAATCCAGACCTCCCCCCTCCCTAAAAAAACAGACATGGAATTAATTTTGTTTAACAAATGGCGCATCTCTTTTTTTGAGAAAAACTCGTAGTAGCTATGCGGTTAAATTCGGCAACTTTTTAAGACATACTTCGCCTTTTCGACAAACAGTATAGAAGCCCACAATATTGGCAATGGCTCGTTGAGTTACAACTTCCCTGTTTCGCTACAAAAGCAAAATAGGGTGAATGCCATGAGCTCCAAGCCGCTCACAAGCCACCTATTCCTTTCATTTTTGACTGAGTAATTTGGTCATAACTGAACAAATGACAAGCCAGTTAATCTTAATGCGAATTGTCACTCTAAAATAACAGTTAAGATGAACACTAGAAAGATGGATGATTTAGCTTTGAACTTTTATAAAAAAAATAAGCATAGAAAATATAGCATTGAATGACTGTGAGCAAGTCAAAAAACAAATGAAGGATTTCACCTGTATTATACCAGTAAGATGCGTACAAAACGATGTGAGGATAGGATTAGTAGTAGGTTTGACATACTGATGGAAATAGGAGCTAACCGTCCACGATCGAACATCAAGTTTTGCAACTGGGAACTCTATAATTTCCTATAAATTCTTGCATTACAATGAATAAATTCGAGCAAAAAAGCAAAAAAAGGTACAATTGAACTCACAACATCATTATACAAATTACCTGATAGGGTAATAACTTCCCATCATCACAGCAAGTGGCTTCAAAGTCCAGAACCAGAAGATAGTCAAATTCTTGTGGCTTCATTAGGGTTTCTTGAACATGAAATGGCAATTGTTGGGCAAAAAGAAAGCAGTAATCAAAAAAATCACCAAAAACGAAGTGATTACTTAGTAAAATTCAGAAATTGTATAAAATAATTACACAAAATATGAAAATGGAATAGAACTTCTCATAAATTACGCTCCATTTGGCTCATTTCGCCCGAACTGACGTACTTTAGGATCACGACCTACACGAGAGTGGTAGAGAACGAGGATACATGCATTTACATTCATTATAATTGCTATAGAAGATATCTTTAGGAATTTANAAAAAAAAGTTCGTCGATGAACCTCTCTACCCATTTTTTGGTAATTACCACAGGACCACACTATATGTAGGATGAGACCTTAGAGAAGAAATATTGGCTTAGCAGACAAATCTTATTAGAATGAAAATCATTCAGATGGACCCATTTCCAGCGTTCTGGCTGTTCACTTACCACGTCGAACTGATGAAACCAAAGGGGCAAGCGAAGGCACCTCGGATGAAACCGATTGCACTGAGGAAGATCCGCGTTTTTTCGCGAATGGAACTTTGGCCTGAAATAACCGTTTACATATTATTAATAGAAATGTAAATCATATATTAGATGACATTCAAGCTAGAAGGATAAAGTATGAAGTCTTTGGGCGTTGAACAATCTCATCTGAGGGATGCGCCCGCGCATACAACTTCCATTCGGAATCGTAGTGGCGGATTGAATGCTTATGTAGCCTATACAATGACTTGCGGTAGCCAGCCGATGAACAAGTAAGTGCTTTTATTCTCCCACATGAGTCTGGTACCAATTAAGCGACCCAGGAGAGATCGAAGGCTTGGCTGGCCTAGGCCGATATCGATCAGGGATTCGAACCCGTTACCATACGTGTGTGACAGCGCACCCTTTGCTACCACACCACCACATTTCATTTAAGTGTAAGAAAATAAAACAGGAACACTACAACATCATGACAGAAACAAAAATCACCTTATGACAACTGCTCGTGGTTGCTAGAAACGATTGTGGACAGCGATGTAAGCAAAATGAAGAGATGATGGAATTGGAACGTGAGGCAACCGTATTCATACCTAAAACTTCGATGCTAACAAGAAAATCGTTGTTGATAGAATACACAACAGCAGTCGAACAGTGCATAGGAAAAAGTGTAGTTTAAGGCAATCCAAGGCCGAATGGCACAATTACAAAATATGATAGACTTAGTACAAACTAAGTTCATAAGTAATTAATGAGGCAAACCTTGATCTGAGGGCAAACAACAAATGGCGTGCTATAGGGGACGAAGTATGCAACTGCACACTTTGTGGCTCGGTACCGTGGAACAACCAGATATGCGTATCGTGAGGCGGTAGCAGTCTACAACTATGTACTATCAAAAGGGAACTTACTGCTCTGGGTACCGCCAGAGCTCCATCTTTCCCTGAGTTATTGTTTTCCACCACTTTTGTTTTACTGCTCAGAGAAACTTTTTCTGCAATTCGAAGTTATGTGACTGACAAGCAATTTTTCCCCTTCATTGATTTGGAAGGAAGCGATTTACCGAAATTACGTTTGCCACCGGTATATTGATTTCTTACCATACTGACTGACTTCCAATGCGAGGGAAGGTAGTGCTGTGGCAAGTGGCGCATTATTCCACACGCCTGGTCACTGGTTCGAATCCCGGCTCCACATCCGCGTAAACACACTCCTTTCATCCCTCGAAGTCGGTTAATTGGTACCCGACAATGATACTAGGAGCACTGGCTCGGAAGCATTAAATACCCCACTACGATCCTGAACGGAAGTCTAATAATTTTAACTCTATTACACATCTGCTATGTATTATGATGACGTCTATAGGAACCGACATAACATCGCTTTCTAGACACGGTAAGGTGAAAACATCTAGTCTGAAACATAGTGCCCTAAGTGAATGACAATAAATGTAAAACCAGTATTCAAGAAGAGAAGGGAATTTTGCTACTGATGAAGAAAAATGACTAGGTGTTGTCCCAGAGGTATCACCTGTATCACCTGTCGTCCCGTTGATCGTCGATTTCCTCGAGCGGGCACCAGTAATGTCTCCATTCGTCCCTGTCACGAGCCAAAGTGGTCCAATTAATCGCTCCATGGACAACGAGGATCAACATTCCTTTCGTTCAGAGCTTTCGTGAAGAAGTCTGACCATCTCGTTGGCGGCCGTCCTGGAGTTCGTTGAATGTCCGGAGGGATCCAGTCAGTAACCGCCCTAGTCCAACGGCCATCACTATATCGCATAACGTGTCCGGCCCACCTGATCTTCGAATACTTGGCGTGGTCAACGGCATCCCTGATCTTCGTTCGTTGACGGGGCTCGGAACTCCGGATTCCCTTCCGCACTTGCGTGTATAGAGAAATTCCGAGCATCGTCATTTCCAAAGCGCGTTGAGTAACGCTGACAGCATACTCATCCTGCTTTCGTAGAGTCCAGGTCTCCGAGGCGTACGTCAAAGCAGGAAGAACAGCAGTGTCGAAAAGGTGAGAGCGGAGCCGGATGTTCTTTGTCTTCTTCACTACTCCCTCGATATTCTTAAATGCTCCCCACGCGGCGCGTTTCCTTCTGCACAGCTCCAGAGCTAGGTCGTTCATCATGTTCACTTCCCGACCTAGATACACATAGCTATAGCATTCAGAGATATTCTTTCCGTTTAGCGTGAAGGGAGCATCAGGTACTAATCCGTTTTTCATGACTAGGTGTCATCCTAGAGGTAATAGAATACTTATCGAAGAAAGTTTGAGAGTTTTTGAGGTGTAATAGAATACTTTGTCTACACAACTATCTTTATAACAAACACCGAATCATATCAACTTTACAAAATCACAACGACAATAACACAATAAAAGAGTTGTTGAGCTAATGGCCGAGTGGGATGCTACTACGGGACGGTCAGGGGCCGAGTGGAGTTGGAACTTACCGCGGCCCGCTCCTTGTCCTCTTCCAGCTTGGCAGTTGCCTCTAGGCGCCGTCTACTGGAAATTCCATTGTGGGTAGTGCAGAATAAGAAGTTGAGGCGCATACATCTGTTGCGATCACAATCGGATTAAGCTGCGGTACGCCTCTTGAGCTGCGCCGTGTCTGTCATCTCCTTGCGCAAGGACAATCGCCTTTCTTTGTTGGCATAATTCTTCCGCCTCCTGGCGCAGTTGCTGCAAACTGTAAATCTTTTTGAATTAATTGCTGTCGAAGCTAGTCGGATGTTTCCTCCTCTATATTGGAAGCTGCAGACAATCCCACAACTCTCATAATCATTCTGAGTCCTGGCAGTGTAGGGCTCCCAACACCTCTTTCATTACATTAGTCACCGCTGCACATCTACTCATGTGTTCCTGCAGCTGGCTCACACTGATAATGTTGCCTCCTCTTGGAAGCTCGAAAACGCGTTCTACTAGTTTGGCCCTGCTCAGCATTCGCGCTTCTTTTACCGATGCAACTTGCTCGCTTACTGACGCTACAACGATCTCCCTTCTAGGATCATCGGTGCGCATAGATTTTGTCAGCTCATTATCTCACGAGACACAGATTCCAGTCACATGGTTTAGCAGCTTATTTGATGACCTAAGGAGGTTTTTAAGAAAATTTCATCTACATTTTCATCCAACATCTCTTTGCCTTCAACAGAAGATCAAAGGAGCTCTTTCTCGTCAGATGCGCCATAGTGACTCTGAAAATAAATCGGAATAGCAGAGTTTAGCTTCTATAACCCTGCAACTCTTGACGGAACGATTTGCGGTCTATATCGAAAATCTCGATCGATAAAACGCGGAGCTCGATGCTAAAAAATGTGGACAAAAAGGAGTGATGAGTCTTAAAACTGAGGGAATCAGAGCACGCTGAAAGTTGCCTGGATACTACCAATCGCTTCTGACCAGTAGTTCGAAGTCGAAGCCATGGCTCGACATCAATCTTTCTCGAGCTAAAATTCAAGAATCACAACTCCGCGATCTAGTCGGATTTCGCTCCGTGCCTCCTAACAATTGATCCCAATTTACCAGACACAAGTCGAATTCACGGCGTATACTATTTGGTTTTCTAGCCGAATCGAAAGTCACGACCGTAAGTCGGAGTCAGATCGGGCTGCTACCAATCGATTTTGTTCCGCTCAGTGCACTATCGAAGTCACAGCTTATACCATTGGAAATTGACAAGCTTTCTCACCAAAGTTGGAGCTGGATATATCACTTGGTTTGCTTTCTCCAAGATACATTATCGAGGTCACGGCTTATAACACTGGAGTTCGACAGCACTACTCTACCTAAGATCACGACTGTCAATAAAAAAGAGAAATTAAAAAGTTTTGTAAGTATTTGTTTATTAATTAAATTAAGTGATTCGTTTCGCCTC